TGTTGTTGTTGTTTTTAGCTCTGAGCCCGCAGTCAGAGATATTGTTTGTTCTTGCAAAACATTTCAGTGTTAGTTCTATCATTATCTCTTCTCTTGGAATGTTTCCTCTTTAGTTGCTTCTTTCCAACTGTATTCCCAAAAAGTACACCTAGATTAGAAAATGCCAATGATAAACACTATTTATAAAGACAAAGTAAACATTTAAAACAAAGAAAGAAAAACAGATTTTCCCTGTGTTCAGAGTTAAAGGCTTTAGTCTACCATGATGGAATTCAAGGGGAAAGGGGAAGAGGAAGAGAACAAGCATTTGCTAAGAACCTACTATGTGTCAGATACTGTGCTAAATGCTTTACCAATATCATCTCACTTGACCCTCACAACAACCCTGTGAGGTAGATGCTATTATGATCTCCATTTTAGCTGAGGAAATTGAGGCAGATAGAGATTGAATGACTTGCCCAAGGTTATACAACCAGGAAATGTCAGAGACTAGATTTTAATTCAGATCTTCCTGACTCCAGGCCCAGTACTCTATCTACTGTTACACCTAGCTAAGAAAGCAGATACAGGATTATCATCTTGGGGTCTGTAGTCTAGAGGCTTCAGCAACACACATCCCATTCTGGCACGACTTGTGCTCAAACAGTCTTGCTCCCAGAGTCCTGACCCTTTTCTTTACGGTGTTTGCCCCTGCCTATGCTTACACTCCAAGCTCCACATGTCTGCTTATAGCTTCCCTTTCTCTAATTTCATCCCATCTCTACCTTATACTCAGTGATCTCACTTTTAAGGAGATCTAGAGATATGGTCTACCACTACTCATCCTAGTACTTTGCTTCATTTCTGATTTACTCAACATTCACACCTTATAAAGAAATCATCTGACCATATTTTTACAGTTAATTTAATGCTTTGTTACCTCATCCCTTTTCTATGATTAGAGTTGTGAAAGACCAACTAACAGATACAAAGAGATGTGAGAAGAGAAAAAGAAGCAGGCTGGTCATGTAATAAGGTAACCCATACATTAAAAATCAACACAGTTGCATCAAAATAGAAAAATATAGTTCTAAGACAAATCTGGCAGGGCCGAATGGTATGGAATTTAGAGAAAATGAAAACAGAGAAACTAATTAGGAGACAAAGAGTCAAGGACTGAAGTGATAAAGAACTGATGTCAACAGGACTATAACATGAGGATAATGATTTTGACAATATAGACCTCTCAGGATTTTTACAAGGCTTAAGTGAGATAATGCATATATAATCGAAGACTAGACAATAGCCTGGTCTTTATAAAGCTGCACAATGCTTTGCTGATGTAATCCCCAACTGAATTTTGGAGCATTCGTAGATATTCTGTAACTAGTTCTACCAGTTAATCCCAAGGTGCAAAGGAGTCTTCAAGATTGGCTGTGTAGCCAATACTAAGGAGGAAGTGAGTGGGGGGAGGGGGAGAGGGAAAGGGAGGAAAGGGACTGGAATTGGATTACAAAGGACACTGCTAGACCAGACCTCATTCTTCTCTTTGTTAGACTTCTATCTGCCTAGAGGCATTGTGGAGAGAGCTGAGATATTGTGCATTTAGGGAAGGAGCCTTGAGCCCTCCCTATCCAAAGCCAATGTGTGGTCTGTGAATATATGCTTTAGTGGTTCTTTGCCTTGCTATTTGTTCTTTCAATCTGATGGAAACTGGAGCTTCAAGAGGTCAAGAGACTAAGGTATAGGAGCAGATTCCATGCTAGATTTTAGATACAGTACAGAAATGTGGCTAGCAGTGAGGAATAGCTTTTTGGACTATTTGGATTAAGCCCATCTGTAGTTTAAACAGAATTTTATCCAGCAACATTGCTGCATTTGAACATGAACTTGGTGGGACCAATGTTATGTAGAAACTGGTTAACTCACTCTCCTCAGAGACCAAGGTGATATGAAGGGGTGTGCCCCTGAGATATAGGGTAGGATGTTTATACTTCTGTACAATCTTCATAATAAATATCCATTTGTAAAAGTTAGTCAATGTTAATTGGTTAAATGGAACTGAGGCACCAGTCAATGGTGCCTCACAGTGAAGAGAACACACCAGAATGGAAGCTCCAACCAATGTGAGTAGAAAAAGATATCCCCAGCCCAGATGTGGGTGGAGTTGTAGCTCTGGGAGAGTTAAACAAGAGCAAATTTCCACACACATAAAATGCTTTGCAAAATTTAGAAGTGCTACATAAATGCTAGTTTATAAAGTACTGCAAGGCATAAGCAATTACTCTAAGCTAATAATAATAGCTAACATAACAATAGCTAATGTTTATACTACTTGCGAGGCACTATGCTGGGCACTTTATAATTATGATTGAATTTGATCTTCACAACAATCCTGGGAGGTAGGTGCTATTATTACCCCCATTTTACCAATGAGGAGACTGTGACAAAGAGGTTAAGTGACTTGCCCAGGATCATACAGCTAGTAAGTATCTTAGGTCAGATACGAAGGTCCTCCTTACTCCAGGCCCAAGGCTGTATCCACAAGGCTACCTAGTTAAGAGTAACAGAATTGAAGATCTGCGAGAGTTTCCACACCAAGGGTTCCCCACATGGATTAAATCATTAATACAGTGGCTCTGTTAGTTAGCAAAGCAAACAATTCCTCAGCTTGGCATTCATAGACCTGCAGCCATCCACTGCCACCTTTGGAACCTCATTTTTCCCTGGCTATGCTTTAGCCAAGCCAATATCCTTGCTTCTCTCCCTGACACTTGCACATGATTCTTTAATCCCTAGCTTTAGTGGAAAAGCAGCTATTTCATAAATCACCATAGGAGAAATGTTTTTTAAAGTAATGAATACATGACGGCCCAGTTTTTCAGCAGCTTTGTGTGCATAAGTACGGCATTGTGTGTGTGTGTGTGTGTGTGTGTGTGTGTGTGTGTGTATGTGTGTGTGTTTCTGGTGCAGACCTATGATTTCACTGGTATATGAACTCCCACCACTGATGCAGGTTAGCAGTTCCCTTGTAACTTAAACAGAGACTTGTCTAGGGGCATTGAGAGGTTAAGCGACTTGCTCATAGCCACATAGCATAGACTTGAAGTCAAATCTTCCTAACCTTAGGTACCCTATCCAATGTAGGCTTCTCAGACTCAGCATTGCAGGTATGTTGTAAGTGATGGCTTTGATAAATAGTTCCATTATAATGTTGGCTTGTGTGTTTGAAGTGCCACGAACATGACGTACAATATGATTCTAAAACTTCTTAGTATGCCATTAAAGCAACAAATTTATGTGTCGATCCTGAAAATGCCAAATTTAAGTTTCTCTTGGTAGATTTAACTCAACCACATTTCCCAGAATGTCATTGATTAGACTGTTAAATGTTGACCTTCAGAGCTATTTGTGAAGTGGAGATAACTTTTTATGTCATTTGGAAATATTTCTTTTTTTCTTTCTTTTGCCAAATTCACTGACTGAAGCTGACCTTGTCCCCATTCCCAGACCCATGAATTGCTTGAGGCTGACCAGACCAGATCACTCCTAGCCTCTAACTATTTTGTAAATGTCCTAAACTCCCCACTCCTTCCCCCTCTATCCCCAAGTTTTCTCAATGGACTGGCAATAATTATGCAAAACAACTTACCTTGTGAAACTGTAGACTATCCCAACCCCTCTGCCCAAATACTTAATCATAACCCCATCCAGGCCTCTCTTTAGGCTCCCCAGCACTTGCTGCTGTGTGGAACCCCAGGTGCACCTCCTTGCCCCAACTAAAGATCTTAATTTTTGTGGTATTGGCTGCCTTCTTGTTAATCCAGGTTGATGCTTTGTTTTTTCTTTCATTCCCTTTATTTCTTACTTTCCTTTTGTTTCTCTCTTCTTCTTTCTCTTCTCTCTTCTTCCCTCCTTTCCTCTTTCTTTCTTCATTCCTTCCTTTCTTTCTCTGATTTTTTAAGAAGGCAGAAAAAGAATAATATATTTTAATAACATATCTTAGAATAATATATATTTAGAGCCAGAAGGAACCCTTGCGGTCAGTCAGTCTAACCTTTTCATTTTACTGGCAAGGAGACCAAGACCTAGACAGATCAAGTGTCCAAGGTCACCATAGGTATCAAGCAATAGAGATATTATGTTTCTTACTGGCTCCTGAGTGATATTGTAAGCTGCTGGAGAGCAGGATACTTCTTCAAATCCTTCCCAGTTCCTAGCATTGTCTCGCTTATAAGAGCAAATATTTATATGAGACAACATGACTAGCAGATAGACTTTGTAGCCAGAAAGATCTGACTTCAAGTCCTATTCCCATCCCCTTCCCCCCCCCCCATCCCCAATATTGGTTATATGACCATAGGCGCGAGCTTTAACCCCTTAGTTGCCCCGGGGAACTTTCTAAAGTGATAAATTACGGGTGAGGCCAAGTGTTTGTATTTGTGTGTGTGTGTGAGAGTGTGTTTGTAAATGCTGAACTCTCACCATTATGCCCTGGGTGTAGTGGCCAAAGAACAGCTCAAGAGCTCTCAAGAGCGCTGACTGAATCAACACTGTGCTTTTCTCTTTATATTTATTCTGTAATTATATTGTGTTGCATTTATTACGTCCTCATTGTCTCTCCCTTTAGAATGTGAACTCCTTGTGGGTAGGGATTTTTTCATTCTTGGTAACACCTAGCCCAGTTAAGTAGAAGCTTGATAAATGTTTGATTGACATTTGCACGTCTTAACAGAGCTTTGGTTTCTACGAAGCAATATTCCTAGCCTAGCCTTTTCAGCTGGACTGTGTTGTTGCCCTAAGTCCCATACAAATGGTTTGCACACCCTACTGCTTGCATATTGAGCAAACATTCAAAATAAACCAATGAGAACAATGCAAGGGGCAGTTGCCAGGACTTGCTAACTGATGTGCTTTCAGTGAATGACTACTTGCTGACTCAGAATGGAAGGGAGGGACAGAATAAAATTCCACTCCCTGTTCTGTAGCATTTGCCAACCTAGCTACTACTATCCAAAGTACACGGCAGGATCATAGATGGTAATGGTAATGGACCCTTCTCTGTTTTGCCCAGTGTGCTCCTTTGCTGTGTCATTCCTTCGGCAAGAGGTGAGATTAAATTCAAGCCTTGAAGGGAGAATGAACAATGCAGTCATGCACAACGTTTCCAGGGCTGGGTGTCTAGGACCAGGGGGCAAACAGATAACCACCCTGCACTGAAATTTGGCTCCAACCAGTCTGATATCCTCAGTTGGTTATATTTATGCATCACTTGGAATCCCAGGGTAATTGCAAATGCTATCCCTAAGTGAACATGACAAATATCTGTTCCCCAACCTTAGATAAGAGAAAAGCCGTGGAAACTGCCTCAGGGCTGTGTGTCTGGTTAAAAGTCCTTTTCCTGTTGGAGCAAGAAAAGGAAGCTGTAATTTAGGGAAAGTTCAGGATAGTGTAATGGAAAGATCACTAGATTTTGGACACCTGCGGTAAGGCCCAGGGACAATTGCTGGCTCTGCCACTTACTACCTCTGTGACTTCAAGTAAGTCATTTCAGTTCCCTGTTGCCTCAATGTCCTTAGCTGCAAAATGAGGTGGTTAGAATAGATGATTTCCTGTTTTTCATTGTTTCCTCCCTTAATTTCTCTTCTGGGACTTCATTCCCTCTTCTATAACTGGATTCGAAAGGTATGAACCAGGCATCTAAGACGATACTTAATGACATTCACCTCAAGATGGGCTTGTTTTCTTTTTCTTTTCTCCTATTTTCAACATCTCTCTTCTTTTATTCAGTCTTCTCTCCTCCAAGGAATTACTTAACCCATTGTTTGATTGCAGGCCTCAAGCTGGACTAATACCAGTCTGTCAGAAGCATAGCCAGGAGGACCTAGTATGAAATGTGGCGAATTTCTGAAAGCTGAGCTAGAACTTCCATGCCTACCACAGGAAATAGCTGCTAGGCTGGGCTGGGATGGGCTCTGGTATGCTCCCTGGCTTTGAGGCTTTCCACTTCACCAGAATGGGTGCTGAACTGCAGGAAGCATTGTCAACAAGAACCAGCCCCCACTCCCTTTCATTGTTAAAGCTTCTGGCTTACTGGCCTGCCCTGCACAAAAGATCTGTTGTAGGGAAGTATAAAATATTTAATTTAATCCACTTATGTGTCTGTTCAGTGTTTATTTTTCAACTGTGTGGCTGTGTCTACTGGATGCCAAAACCATCTGTCTGTCGATTCAGTCAATTTAGTTTAAAAAAAAAGTTAAACTAGTTTTTAGTGTTTTGTGGACACCAAATATTTATTTGATTTTCTATAGTTTTAATTATCACATTTCTTTGTAAGAACTCTGCATGCTTACATAGCCCTTTAATATTTAGAAAATGCTTTCGTCCCAACAACCCTGTGAAGTAAGTAATAAAAGTATTATTATCCCCATATGACAAATGAAGAAACTGAATTTAAGAGAAGTGACACAACTAGTAAATCTTAGAACACAGATTTTAAGTCTAAATTTGATACTGGGTAGAGTGTTCTTTCTAACTAGGTTATACTATTCTTTACATCACTGTCCGTTTTTCAGTTAAGGTCTTTAGCATGCACAGTTACTTTTTAAATTGCTATCTACAGAGCCACATGTACACCAAAATTACCCTTACTGGAATGTATCTTATGGAGCACATCAATTAGTTAAGTAGCATTTATTAGGCACCTACTATGTGCCAGGTACAGTGCTAAGCACTGGGGATTAAAAAAAGAAGGCAAAAACCCCCAAAACAGTCCCTGCTTTCAAGGAGCTTAGTGGAATAGGAGACACAACATGCAAACAATGAAGTATAAACAAGATACGTGTAGGATAAATTGCAGATAGTCTCAGAGGGAAGGCACTAAGATTAAGGAGGACTGGAAATGGTGAGATTTTAGCTGAGATTTAGAGGAAGTTAGGAAAGCTCAGAGGCAGAAGTGACATGGGAGAGAGTTACAGACATGAGGGACTACCAGTGAAAAGGCTCAGAGTCAGAAGATGGGGTGTTTTGTGAGAGAAAAAGCAAAGAGGCCATAAAGTATATGCTGAACCAAGTGCTTTGAGATGACGAATATCCTTATTAGTCCCTTGGTTCCATGAGGGCAGCAAAGGGTCGTTGCATCAAGAGGATACTACTGTAAATACAGAGCAACTAAAGCCTGGTCTAGATGAATTTGTGACTATATCTCAAAAGTTCTAACTGGTTCTTCTGCTTTCTATTTCTTTCCTGAGCTTACGTATCTGAACAAAGATCCTGAGATGGATGTGTCCAGACTTGGAAACACTCTTGTGAATTGGGCAGGTTGGAAGCTCTTGGGACCTCAGTTATTGCTGGCTATGCTATGGAAGGAATCCCTAACAGCTCTTCCAATGTTCCTTGGAGAAGATGACTACTGGGAGAAGGATGGACTTATTTCTTGGTTTGGCTTGCCAGAAAATGTGGATGCACCTTGAAAGAGTGATTTAGAAAATACAGAGCAAAGATGAGGGTTAAATGCCAATTCAGCAGTCCAACAGAGTACTTTGTTTTGCTATTTAAGCATCAACTCCTGGGAGACTATGACAGTAGTTGTAGGTAATTATTGCTACTTTTAAAAGTCTTTGCTAATGCATGCTTCTAAGTCTCTTGTGTGTTAAGCATTTCTTTTATGTGGAAGAAATAAATAAGTGTCCTATAACCCATTGCACATTGAGTACCTTTCTAATCCCACCCTTTAGGGAGACACTAGACACAAGTAAATCTAAGCTTTAAGTGATTGATCCCAGGGTTCTGGGGTTGGGCTATAAGCAGTGAAAGAATTTGTGTGGGTCAAGTCAACACACATTTATTAAGTGCTAGGCATTGAGCTAAATGCTGGGATCACAAAGAAAGATGAAAAACAGGGAGACAACATGCAAATAACTATGTACAAGATAAATTGGCGGTGATCTCAGAGGGAAGGCATTATCAAGGAAAGGCTTCTTGCAGAAGCTGGAATTTTAATTGAGAGAAGAGGGCCAACATGGTAGAGGAATGTTTCACAGTAAGAAGGTCCTAGATGAGGAAAATCTCAGTGTGAGAAGGCAGCTTAGAGATATGAGCTTGGAGGTCTAGAGAAAGGTTAGAGCTAGATAAGTAGATCTGGGAATCATCTGAATTCAGATAATCATTGAATCCATGGGAACGGTTGAGATTACTAAGCATAACAGCAAAGAGGGAAAAGACTAGAGGGTCCAGGAAAGAGGCCTAGCTTGGGGACACCTGTGGTTAGCAAGTATGACCTAGATGAAGATCCAGCAAAGGGGACTAAGAAAGAATAATCAGACCGGGACTTTTCAGGGCAGGATTGGCTAGAGGAAGAGGGGAAAAGGAACCTGATTAAAGAGAAGAGCATGGAGGTAAACTGGTTCACCATGGGTCAAGATGGGGAAGAAAGGAGTATATAGACAGTAGATAACCTGGGAAAAAACTGAGGGGTAGAGGGATTGCAGGTCACAGTGAGGATGAATAACAAGGAAAGGTGGAATGACAAAAAATTGTAATCAGATACAAGAATTTCAGAGTTAATGAAAACAGAGGTGGAATATTTGTAGGTGATGGCAAAATCAAGGGTTTGACCATGCCTGTGTGGCAAGGTAGGATAGAGGAAGAGGTCATGAGAAATGAGTAAATTGAGGAACTGGGAGGTTAGGGGAGTATCCCCTTGTTCAAGGGTAGGAATTGGGAAGGAGAGAAAGACCAGACCATATACTAGGCTCTGAACACATTGAAGAAGGAAAGAGAGAGTCCTGGAGTTTGGTCAATAATAGTTAGTAGAATACTGAAAGAATTGGGTAAATATTGGATAAATATAAGGATTGAATGATCCTCAAAGGAGGAGAGATTACTGAGTGATGGTGGTAGGGTGAGAGTCTGGCAATGGTGAATAAGAAGGATTCTGATTCTCCCATCACAACTAGTATTCACTGGAAAGGGGGTATTAGTGAAAGTGTAACCAGTCCTGGAAGGGGTGGCCAAGGTTCGCATGTTATTAGGAGGGAACCAGGTCTCAATGAGTTCCAGAAGATGGAAGGAATGAGAAAGGAAAAAGTTTAAGATGAAAGCAAATTTGTTTCCTGTGAGGAAAGCATTCAAGGCAGCATGGTGGAAAGGATGGGTAGATATTAAGTGAGATACTGCAGGGAGGAGGTCAGATTGAGGGGGATGGAATCCAGAGAACTGGCAGTAGGGATTGGGGAGGAAGGTTTGTACAATGACAGCTAGGGGTTCAGAATCATTGAGATGAATAGAGCTTGCTAATCACTAAGGAATGAATTCAAGTAGGTCATCATCCTCAGAGGGCCAGGAAGCCTGCAGAGGTCGGGCAGATTGGAAGGTGAGCCTGGAGAAGGCTGATGAGATGATTGATCCAGACATGTACCCTCTTCCTGAGGTGAGGGTAGAAATGGAACAAGCTGGAGTTTATGGATCCGTAGGACAAGGAGAGGGCAAGTTCTCCAGCTCTCTAGGGTCCAACAGTGGAGGTTATTTGTATTGTTACAGCTTCTTAATTAGAATCATAAAACAACAGAACCAAAAGGGACCTTCCTCATTATCTAGGTCACTCCTGATTTAAAGCTAGAATATAGAGATGCGCACAGGTAAAATGTCTGGCCCAGACTGATGTAGCCAAATAATGGCATAGTCAGGACTAGAACCCAGATCTCCCTATTCCCCAGTCTAATGGTCTTTCTCATATACAAGATAAGTGTCTTGTTATGATGATTTTGTTAAAATTCAACTGATGTTTATGAAGAGCCTACTATGGGCAAGTGTAAGAATACAAAGATAAAAACCACAAGTTTAAGTCCACAATGAAAAAGGAAATGGGTTAAAATGGAGGGAGGGGTAGAAGAGAAGGATGGACCAGGAAGGCTTTACTGGGAGGTAACCAGCTGAGCAGAGCCTGGAGAAAGATAAGGATTCTGAGAGGCTGAGATACTAATAATTATGATAGTTGACACATACAAAGAGCTTTATATATATTATGTCATTTCAGCCTCACAATAACCCAGTGAGGTGTTGATACGCCTATTTTCTATATGAGAGAATTGAGTCTTACAAAGGTTAAATAACTTGTCCAGGGTCACATAACTACAAAGTATCAGAAACAGTATCATGAATCCATTTCTCTTGACTCTATGACCAACGCTCTAGCCCTTGTACCACCCTGTCCCGGAGGAGATAGGGGACCACTTGGGTAAGAGAATGGAGAGAGAAGATGGAATGCTGAGTTGGGGGAATGGTAAATAGTCTAATTTGTCCATAATAGAATAGATGAAGGAGAATAATATGAAATAAGACTAGTAAAATAGGTTAAAGGGACACTGTAAAGGCCCTTGAATTCCAGGCTGACAAGTTTGTATTTTGTCCTATAGAAAATGGTGAGCCACGGAAGGATTCTGAAGCAAAAGAGTTATTTGGTCTGATCTATGCCTAAAAAGACTCTTTTGGCTGCTGTATGGAGAACTAGGCCTGCTGGGTGGCACAGTGGATATAGTGCTGGGCCTATAGTTAGGAAGACTCATCTCTCTGAGTTTAAATTTGGCTTCAAACACTTACTAGCTATGTGACTCTGGGTAAGTCACTTAACCCTATTTGCCTCAATTCCTCCTCTGTAAAAATGAGCTGGAGAATGAAATAGCAAACACTACAATATCTCTGCCAAGAAAACCCCAAATGGGGTCACAGAGAGTCAGACAAGACTGAAAAATGACAACAACAAACATGGAAAATTGGGGCAGCTAGGTGGTGCAGTAGATAGAGCACTGGCCCTGAATTCAGGAGGACCTGAGTTCAAATCTGACCTCAGACACATAACACTTACTAGCTGTGTAACCCTGGGCAAGTCACTTAACCCTCATGGCCCAACAAACAAACAAACAAACATGGAAAATTAATTGAAGAAGGGAGAGATTAGAAACAGGAAATTGATCAGGCAGTTATTCTGATAGTTTAGGTGAAATGTGATGAAGACTTGGACAAGAGACATGGAAGAGAGAAGGAATCTGTGGGTGAAAGATAGGATTCATTCTGGACATGTTGAGTTTGAGATGTTAATAGGAATCCCAGATGGAGATATTCAGCAAGTATTTGTCAGAGCTCAGGAGAGAGATTAGGGCCACACGTAGAGAGAGGTTTGGGACTTGCCTGTGTAGGGATAGTATGCTTCGATCTGCATTCAAACTCCCTAGTTCTTTCTTTGGTTGTGGATAGCATTTTCCATCCTGAGACTTTTGGAGATGTGTTAGGTCCTTGCATTGCTGAGAAGAGCTAAGTCTTTCAAAGCTGGTTATCGTACAATGTTGCTGTTATTGTGTACAACATTCTCTTGGTTCTGCTCACTTCACTCAGCATCAGTCCATACAAGTCTTTCCAGGTTTTTTTGAAGTCTGCCTGCTCATCATTTCTTATAGCATAATAGCATTCCATTACATTCATATACCATAACTTGTTCAGCCATTCCCCAACTGATTGGCATCTCCTCAATTTCCAATTCTTTGTCACCACAAAAAGAGGTGCTATAAATATTTTTGTACATTTGGGTCCTTTTCCCATTTGTATGATCTCTTTGGGATACAGCCCTAGAAGTGCTATTTCTGGGTCAAAGGGCATGCACATTTTTATAGCCCTTTGGGTACAGCTCCAAATTGCTCTCCAAAATAGTTGGATTATTTCACAAGCCCACCAACAATGCATTAGTGTTCCAATTTTCCCACATCTTCTCCAACATTTATCATTTTCCTGTTTTATCATGTGGTACCTCAGAGTTGTTTTGATATGCATTTCTCTAATCAATGAACCAGGATAGTCTTGAGAATTATTCATGATTAGGAGGCAGGAGATAGATGATGAACTAGCACAGGAGACTGAAAAAGTGTAATCAATTAGATAGAAAATAATCCAGGAGAAACTATTATCACAGGAGTCAAAGGAGAAAATATCCAAGCAGTGGTCAACAGTGGTAAAAGCTACAGAAAAATGGAGTGTAAGGACAGAGAAAGACTAGTAGATTTAGCAGTAAAGCAATTATTGGTGACCTTGGAGAAAACAATTTTTCATGAGTCATGGGGTTGAAAGCCTTCTTGGAAAGGACTGCAAAGAAGATGAAGGGGAAACATTTAGAAAAGATAACTTTTTCTAGTAGTTTACCAGTGAATGTGAGAGAGTATCAAAGCTCTATAAGATAGTAGGGTAAAAAGTAGTTTTTATTTTGTTTTTTTTCTCCCCATATCAGTTATGTTGTGAAAGAAAACACAGAACAAAAAAAAACTACCACAAAAAATAGAGTGAAAAATAGTATGCTTTGATCTGCATTTAGATTCTATCAATTCTTTCTTTGAAAGTGGATAGCACTTTTCATAATGAGTCCTTTGGAATTGTCTTAGATCATTGTATTGCTGAGAAGAGCTAAATCTATCAGAGTTGATCATGGCACAATGTTGCTGTTATTGTGTACAAAGTTCTCCTGGTTCTGCTCACTTCACTTTGCATCAGTTCATGGAAGTCTTTTCAGGCTTTTCTGAAATCATCCTGCTTGTTATCTCTTATGGCACAATAGTATTCCATTACAATTATGTACCACAACTTGTTTGGCCATTCTGCAATTAATGGACATCCCTTCAATTTCCAATTCTTTGCCACCACAAAAAGAGATAC